ACTAAAGCTGGTCCCAGTTCTACTCGGCTGGAAACATCTTGGTCAAGACCCAGGTTATTTTTGCATCCTCACATTGGTTCTGCCTGGTTAGAGACTCCGTGCTGACTTTGGCCAAGTGGTCAACCCCAGGGAAATGCAAGCCAGGAGGGGAACAGGATGGAACTTTGCAGGCTAAGCATGAAACGACAAAGCCAGGTTTATTGAGACACAAATAGGCAGCTTCAAAGCATTTTTTCCACCCCTCATAAAATCAGTACTATCATCATAATCATCTACGCTCCAGGATTTTAAGTCCTTTTCTGATTTCAGGCCAGCAGAGATGCATACTGCCTACTCTTTCCAATCATTCTTCTATTATTTGTCAAAAATCGAATTTCAGCACTTTTAGGAAACCAGCGGGGAAGGAACCATGGCTGGTTGAACTTTTTGTCCTTCTCTACACCCGCCAACTTTTACATCATCAGGACAGGGCAAGAAACCCACAAAAAATTCACATTCCCAAAGCCAGAGGCTACATCCCAGTTCTGGCAACCCAGTGGTCTTACCACAAAGCTCAGCACAGCCTGGATCCCCTTTGACTTCTGAACAATAGATTTACAGTGGTGGAAGGGTGGGGAAGGAGGGCTTCAAAAGCAAAGAGCAGCAAGGAAGAAGTGATTTTGAAGCCAGAAACAATCCACTGCAACATGAGCCCTCTCCATCTCAGCTTTGCTGCTCTTCCCAGCAAGCGCTTTGAAGCGCGGCAATGGGACGTGAGGAGAGAGCCAACAGCCTGTTGTGTGTGGGCCTACAGACATGAGCATGGCTTGTGTGGCAATGAAGGCTGGACTTGACAGGGTAAAAGAAGGAAAGTACAGAAGACAGAATCCTCAGTGGCCTTACACCAGCCTTGCGTTCTCCTGACTGCAGCACTTAAAGGGGCTGATGAAGAACACGGGGTGTGCAGGGATGTGCGACACAGGGGTGTGACGCTGGGCAGTGTGTGCACATAATGCTGGAATTTACCCCCTTTATGCAGCTTGGGATGGGGACAGAGAAGCCAGTGCACTGAAAGCCTCCCCTGTCTAGCCAATGTCCACAGGGAAGGGAGGGCTTTTTCTTCTATTGCTGTTCAATTACAAGGCAGCCATAAGGAGAGGATAAATTCACACATCACACAGAGCAGCTGCTGTGCAGGATTTGCAGCCATTTTTGCACTTTCTCTGCTAACTGCACAACGAGGATCTTGCTGCCAAAAGTGATGACAACACCCTGCAACCCATTCCTCCTCTGCCTTGGATGACTGACTGACAGCCGGTCACCTGGAAAAGATGCTCCTGGGCTCTTGTCTGGGACAAGCTAAGGCCATGAATCACAGGACAACTGTGGTTAGGGAGGCAGCAGGTGGTTTGCAGGGTGAGCTGGCATCACAGAGGTACTGGTCAGAGCACGGCCAAGTACTGGTTGGAGGGGCAGGAAGAGACAGAATCAGATCAAGAGGCACAGGGGAAGCAGCTGAAAGGAAGTTTGCACAGCATCTGCACTACAGTCCCATCCGCTCATGTCTACACATACTGAACATCAATTAAATTTTAATTAAAAGAGAAAAAAATAAACACTTCATGAAGACAAGAGATGAAAACATCCATGCTGTATCTTTGAAGAGCAAGATGAACCCACCCTGAAGAAAGGTAAATGTAGTGGGAACCAAGAGACTCCGGGGATTACTCATTACAGGAGATGAGATTCTCAACATCTTTCTATTTTGCAACAATTAGCTGGTAACTGGAAAAAAAAAATTGAATAGATCAACACTTTTCTATTATTAGTTTTAAATAATGACTCAGAAACAAGCACTTCCTTTTTCCCCAAGCTGTGAAGAGCTAAGCACCAAGACCCTGATCATGGCTTCAGGCTTGTTTAAACTGCAAATGTCTCTGCAGAAATTACAGCAGAGTGGTGCAAGTACAATGAGAATCAAATGCTTTGAGTGTAACTACTAGCAATTACCTTTCATTTATAGGTTAAAAAGCCTGATGCAGCATATTTGCTAGGAAAAGCATGCACTGCCAAGAAGATATGTGTACAGAGATTGGGGAAGCAAGGAGAGAGAGGGGAAAAGTCATGCCTGCTGATGGCCTTGGAGAGAAACTGAGTAAAAGGCCGATACAAAGAGGTCTGCCCAAAACACAAGGTTGCCTCTCAAGGCCTGACCCTGGACCTTAATCACCAACACAATCCACAGCTCAGGGAAATAATTTAAGTACTTCAGTTCTAAAAGAATTGCCTGCCCAATCTGCTAAGCAGACAGTTTTTGCAGAGCAATTCAGAGAGAAAAAGATAAGCAGATTCAGCTGATCAGACACAAAAAGTCTCTCTAAAAGCAGTAATTTCCTCTGGGAAGCAGCCCACATGCTCCTAGCACAGTGGGCAACCATCACTGCTGCAGCAGGTCCCAGCAAGGCAGATGATTAAATCTGCATCTGTCATTTGGTATGAACAGAAAGGCAGCAGATGAGGAGGCAGTGTCACAAACAGTAGCTGGTACTCTGAAAACAAATGAACTTCAAGCTCACCTTGATGCCTGCTGACTGAAAGAAACCTTTTGGATCTTCTTCTTCCAGGGATAAGCATCTGCATCCCTGCCACATGCCATGAAGTGTGCAGAGGAATGAGGACATAGCATAGGTCTCAAGGGACTTGCACTGCACACAGCAGTGACCAGGTCACAGAGTAGCACATCACCTCCCCATCCTGTGACTGGCTGCAAGATGGTGACCTGCTTTTCTGCCCGAGCTACTGCAGCATGAAGGCTGGATGCCAAGTTCTGGACAGCACATCTATCCAAGAGCATGCTTTGCCCACCCAGGTTGGCTACAACCCTCAAGAACTTCAGGCACCATCCTGGAGTAGGACATGTCACGGAAGATGTTCCACACTAGCAAGGTATACAGGGGCTGAGGAACCTCAGCTTTTTGGAAAGTAGAGTCCCACCACCACTTTGCCAAAGGGTGAGGAATTGCAGAGGTTCTGTGTTGGCCACCTGCACATCCTGGAACACCCCACAGGACTTGGTGTCACTGCTTCCAACTGCCACTTCCTTCCTGTCACCCTGGAGTCACGCTCACCACAGCACTGGTGTCCTTCCAAGGCTGTGTGGCAGAGTCAGGCACTGAACCATCTCCTCCCTGCCTTGAACCCAGCTCTGAGCAACCTCCAGCAGATGTGGCTGGAGATGGCACCACCAAAAAACCCAGCTTCCAGTGCTCAGCAAACCTCTTACGTCCAGAACAGCAGCCCTGAGACAAAACACAGAGGCAGGTGCATAATTTCTTGAAGTTCTCTTTTCTTTTGTTTTGTTTTTATTCTTTCCCTTCCTTTGCCATGACACACGCTTTGTATTAAATATTTTAAATATATTAATTTTTTAAAAGTATTAATAAAAAGAGCTGGCAGAGTGACCAAGGGCAGTGACCCATTGCAAAACATGGGGATGTTTAAAAAATAACAAACAGAAATCAAATTATAACAAAAAAACCTGGCATTTTTTGCATTTGCACAGCTGGCTGGAATACCCTGGACTCTGGCATTATTGCAAAAAAAGGAAGAGGAAGTGGTAGAAAAAATATATTCCATTGTACCAACCTGTACAGGGAAGAGAGTTAAGAGCAAAAATGAGGAGGCTTTAAACATTTTTGGTATTTCAGATGTTCCCTCCCCCACCCATCACCCCCTTTTAGTCTTTAAGCAAGTTTTCTGGCTTGGGGTAGCCAAAGAGGACAAAGTCTGCTTCATAAAGCTTGTAAAGCTGCTGCCTCCAAGCCAGTGGGATATTGGCAAACCAGTTCTCTTCCCAGCTGCTGGCAGTCCTGTTCCGATAGCTGGGGGGGAAGTGAAGCAGCCTGTCCACTTTGAGGAGCTGCAACAGATAAGCAGCATCCTCATCCAGTGTCTCCAGCTTCCCAATGAAATCATAGTCTATCTGGCACGGGTGGCACAGACGGTAAATCTGCCTCCAGTGCTCATTGAAGGGGACCATCTTCTCTGTCCTGGGGTCCAGTAAGTACTGGATGAAGTCAGAAAAGGAGACTTTGAGGCCTGCCCTGAAGGCCTCTCTAACAGAGATGGGAGGGCTGGTGTGGTTGGAATACAGCTTCAGCATGGGGATGGCAAAACGCTGGTAGAACTCCTCATTCTCCAGCTCAAATTTGCTGCGGAAGGCAGAGATGAGGCGGACAAAAGGGTCTCGTACAAAGAGGAACTTGGTGTATTTCTTCAGCTTGATCTTCATCAGGTGCCGGGAGAACTTCCCGTAACGGCGCCAGAATTTATTGAAGGTCAAGTGGGTGCTGCTGTTGTGGACGTGCTCCCGGGGGATATCCAGAGGGTGCCGGTATGGGACCCCCCGGTCCAGCAGGCTCTCGCTCAGCACAATCATCACCCGCTTCCAGTTGGTGCAGGCAACCTTGGGGACATAACAGTAGATGACGCCGTGGCGGTCGTCCACGATCAGGTGGTTGAGCTCATAGTTTGGGATGTCATCAAAGGAACGCTCCTTGGTGGGGAAAGTGAAGCTGGAATTGGCACAAAACTCCCGCAATGTTCTCTGCCTCTCTCTCTGCAGTTTTTCTTGGTCCAAGCTGTTTCTGTCACTGTGCACAGACCAGTCATAGCCCCGCACATTCTCCTCCAAGTTGCTCCCCACAGGCTTGGTGGAGCCCTGGATGAGCAGCTGCTCTGTCTTTTGGGGGATGGAGCTATTCTGTTTCAGGCTTGAACTAAGCAGCTTTGCCAAAAATTCATCGACATCTGGCAAAGCTTCCCAGCCTTCACCTGTCTTGATACCTGGTGAATGAGGCCTGGAGAAGGACGTATGCAGGTAGAAGTGAGCCGTTCCCACGTTGTCCCAGTACACAATGATCAGGAGGATCATGAAGATGGAGACCAGCACCACAGAGAGACGGAGGAGCCGTGCTTTGGTCATCCTGACACCTACTGTGATAGCTGGTTTTCACCTGGTTTCACCTCTGGCTTGCCAAGTGAGGCTTGGAATCCAGCATGGTGCTGCAGATCAGGATCCTAGAAAGGTACCAGAAAAAAAGTTAGTTGAACCCTTAAAAACTCTGGTTTGGAGAGAATGACCTTGTATGATTGAGACTCATCATGAGGCTGACCATCCATTTCCAGAGAGCTGTGTGAGTCTGAGGCACCCATACAGAACCCGTGGAGAAGAGCTGACCCGCCAAAAGGAGGCTTAATGTGTCGCAATGTTACCAGCTTCCACAGCCATCATGGTTGATTTATCCATCTCAAGCTTCTGGAGCCACATGATTTCAAGAGAATCTCTGTTTTCATAAAATATAAAGACTTTAGGCCTAGAGTTTACAGAGGTTACAGAGGTAGGTTGAAAGTATTAAAAAATACAACTACATACAGAAAATATGCAGTCAACTACCTTTCAGATTTCCTTCCTTTTTAAAAAGACTTAACAAAGAACAGGAAGGAGGTTTTAGCTTGTGGTATCACATTGTGGTCTCTTCTCACGAAGATGCTCTGTACTACTGTGCTGGAAACAAAGACCTCACTGGAGGTGTATTTGTACAGCTGAAGATGCTGTTGCCACAGTGGCTAAAGCAAGACCCTGTTGAGGGAACACCACTGACTTGAATGCACCATCTCATTTAATCTGTGTGAAAGCTCTCAGTAGATGTCACCTCCCTGTCCTTTCTTGGTTGCTATTAATTTTGTGGAGAACAGAGATTACACAAACAGTTTTCCTACAAAAACCCCCAAAGGGACAAGGCCCCAGTAAAAGCCACACATCAATAAAAACTGCAGGAATTATTACTTTTAACTGAACGACTTCTGAGATTTAAGATGCTCTGGTAAATCTTTGTCCACATCAGGACCTCTTTTCCTGGTTTGACGTAATTTCTATCACACTCATCCTGAACAACTCTTGACCAATGACAGGCAAGAAATCACCATTAAATGGGCAGCTTGGAGATATTTTCTGGAGGGTGCAGCAAGTTTTATTGTGTTTTGGGGTTTCTTTTTACTTCAATCAGTCCCATCTTTTCACTGCTACCTGCTTTTCCCTGCTGGCTCCCAGCCCATTTCCAGCAGCAAGCTCTTCAAGGGACATCCATCTCCCCACCCTGCCAGAGAGAGAAATTCAGTGCAGCTGTAGCCTAGCACCTGGCTTTGCTCTGCAACACCAAACACTTCCCTGGAGCCAGACTCTCATTCTACATGTGAAGAGGAGCTGGAGGAACTGCAGTCATAACACTTTGCACTCTACAGAGCAAGAAGCAGGTATTACTCAGCAGTAATTCTCCACATTTAGCCAGTCAAGATTGAGGATGGAGCAGATCTGAGAAGAAACACCCAGAGAGATGAGCACGGAGTCAAAGAAGGGGCAAATTGCATATGTGTGTCAGGACTTCAGGCCAAGTATCTCAGTCCAACAGCAGAAGATAATGGAGAGATGCTGCCAAGCCTACTGCTTGGCACATTCCTGGGTTTGTGATTTGTCTGAATCTGTTCTTGCTTTCAAGCTGGTTAGCTGCTCAGGGCAGGGACTGCTTCCTATTCTCGATGAATAGTGTGCCCACTGTGCACATAATTCCTAGCACACTGGGTTTCCAACGCTGCTCGAGACCTTTGGGCTGGCTGGAATGCAGCAAGCCCAGAAAACTGCACAGAGCATCCCTTTCTGCCATCCCTGTACCCAGCAGCTTCCACAGCTTGGGGCAGTGCAGCAGCCTGCCAGCATTTCTGCAAAGCCATCCCACCCCAGAACAGACAGATCACCCTCCCGGCAGCAGCGACAGACGCAAACGAGTCGCTGTGTGTGGTACATGCATTCCTTGGGCAAACAGAAGGAGAGCTCTTTGTCAAAGCCACCAGCATCATGTAGCTCTACCAAGGGCTTGAGCCTGCTTTCCAGGACACAGCACGCAGGCCTGCCCAAGCATTTGGCTTTTCCAAGACACACAGCAGTGAGCAGCACAGAATCGAAATGACTCCACTTCTATTAACTCTACCAGTGCCAGAGAGGAACCCTGAAAAAGAGCTTAATTTTCCCTCACAAGAAAAATGCTACAGAAAACAGAGTTGATCTGTCGACCATGACACATCCTCTTCCTGAGCACTTCATAAGAGATGCCAGACTGAAAGCACAAATTAGAGGTCTCTGTGCACAGCAGAGGGAGTGTGCCTCCATCCTCCCCTTGTCAGAACCAAAAGGAAAAGCCTCCAGAAGGAGCCAAGAATTTACTCTCAAGTTTAACCCAAAGTCACCAGCCAACAAGAATGTGCAACAGGATCCACACAAAGCTGCTTCTGTGACAAGATGGCAGCAAACCAGGCAACAGACCAAGTGCTACAGTCATCCTGCAGAGTGCCCTGAGCAGCCACCCCATAATCATCTCCAACCTTGAACCTGGCCTGACCCTTCTCCCCATTCCAGGCCTAAGAAAGACACCGACAGCTGAGGTGACAGGTCCATCCTCTCCTATCACAATCTGCCATGTCAAATAACCACCTCTCAAACTGTCACTTAAAACCAGAAAGGGAGGATGTCTCCACAGCACTCTTAGTGCAAAAGCTATTGCAGATGTTACTCCTCAGGGATTTGGAAACCTTATTCACACTTCATGGTCTGATCATAACTGTTGGTTCTCACGGCAAACAGCAACTAAAGTAATTCCTGTCTCTTTCTTCCTCTTCTCTCAGCTTTGTGCTACAACTACATTTTCTCACAGCCTCTTTTTGCAAAAGAAAGTAACCCTTGCCTGCTTACAGGAGCAGTAAGGCCTACAGAAAATAAAGGAGCTTACACACAGGTATTTACCAGAGACAAGGGATAGTAACCCCTCTCTATGAACAGTGCCGGTTTTGAAGGGTCTGTGCCTCCAAAGGCTTGGCTGCAGATTCCACCCCTTCTTGCTTTGTGTCTCCTCAGGCTTGTCCCCCTCTCACTGCTCCTAACTCCCTGCAGGGAAGCACAAGGCACAGGTCAGGCTCTAAGCACAAGCTCACCTCCTCCAGCGCCCACTTGTTCTAGCATGAGAAGATATGGGATTTCAGGTAGTTTGCTTGGCTCTGCCTGCTTTTGGAAAGAGAAAGAGATGGAATGAGAACTCATAAAAACATACAAAAAGCCAAAATTCAAGTGGTTACCTTCCCTTGGGACACCTGCAATCACTTGACTCATGAAGCCTTCTTTACCCACACATCATGGTACACACCTGCTACCAGTTCTCTTAGGGAATCTAGGGAATTTGAACCAATTTAACCTTCTGCAGGTGCAGAAGAACATACTGCCATCAGCCAAAGCAGACAGACGCTGTACCATAAACCCAGAAACTCATTTCATGTGCTCAGCCATCACCCAATAAATTGCTTCTCCCCAGCTTTCCAAGAAACCTAGCACCCTTTACAGAGCAGGGATGTTTTAACCCATGTAATAACATGAGAAACTACACCATATAAGTGCACAAATAAGCAAAAAATAGAGCTTGCAGTGCATGTTTTACCTCAACTTAACACATATATGCTAGAGACCAGCAAAAGAACATCCTCACCTACAGAGCTATCCCAGTACCTTCCCTCCCAGCACTGCCACAAAGCCTGGTTTGTACAGGCTTGGCAGCACCAGTCACCTCTTTTTTAATGTCCGTACTTGGAAGTTGACTCAATAACCATATTTCTAAGGTTTCCCAGAAGGAAACTGTCAGAACACAGCAAGTCCTGTCCGTTCATTACTTTTGTCACAAACTTCAAGCACACTCGCCATTTCTGGCCTTCCAAGTGCAAGAACAGTCTCAGAAACAGACATACCTGTACCTATATACCTATTTACCTACAGCCTGGCCCAACACAACCCCACAACTTTTGCTGGACGCCAACGCAGGGGCCAGAAGCGCAGTTTTCTGCTCTACACAGTCGAGCTCCGCGCTGAAGCTCAGAACACGAAGTTTGAGCGAGCCGAGCCACGCCAGCAGCAATCTCTGGGCAGGAATTTAAAGCCCACGCTCTACCACCGACAGAACCGCCCCGCCGGGGCCGCTGCTGCCCGGGTTTGCTTGCGGTGCCGGCTCCGGGAGGCGCGC